CTCTACTAGCTTAAACTACGCGCTAATTATCTTAGGATCTTCCTGTAGTATCCTCTGTCTATCCTTAGCTTAATTAAAGGCTATTTTAAGCTCGTCTAAACGCGTCACAAGCCTGCTAGCCTATAGTTTGCCAACAGGCTCTTCACCACGCACACTAAGTATCTTATCAGCCATATCTGCCACCTCACATAGCTAGGGCGCAAATCCTCGCGAATTAAGGTTAAGTATATACTAGATAATTGTCTGCTCCTCTAGTATAGTAAGTTTCTAGCAATTAGCGCGTATATCTAGTTAAAACATAATATTGCAAAGGCGATTAGAGACCTACTAATAAGGTACGTTCAACGCTCTAGCAGCGCTGTGGATACTGCGAAATTGGCCAGCGTAGAAGGCCTAGATAGCAAGGATAACTCTGCCTTCTCTAGTAGTATTCTAAAGTTGTTGTTGTTAAGGCATGTTATGTTAGGGTAAAAGGTGGTTGTGCCAAGAGAAAGTGGCCGGTTCGGTGATATGGCCGGCTCGGTGATAATCTACGTTAACTATTACACAACTATTACGCTTAACCACAACACTGTACTAATACTTATAATTACTACAATTACTCTTTAGAAGCAGCACTATTATCTACATCTAATATTTCTGCAGTGCAGGTGCGCAAATTGTGGCTAGTCTTGCTGCAACGTCCACAGTGCCTCTCTTTGCGCACCTTCTTCCTAGACTGTTCAGATGCCTCACTACCACCACTGTCCTTCTTAGCTATTATATCCTGTACCTTACTAACTGTGAGAGCCTCCTCTGTCTAGATATACTTTCTTTTGCGACCACACTGCGCTGTTAGAGCCTTAATAGCCTTCTTTATGCTATCTATTTCCCTTCTCTGCAACACGTTGGCATGGTCTATCCACGCAACCCCTCTAGCAAGCAAGTTAAGTGATTTCATAATGTAACGGTCTAGACTCTAAAGCTAAAGAAGAGCTAGAGCTAGCCAGTTACATTAGCTTAGCCGGCTTGGCTTAAGCTGGATATATATTATCTACGCAGTTAACTAGGCGTCTAGTTAACTTGTGCATGCTTTTTAGCAAAAGTGGTTAGGAAGTAGATATCCTTTATTGGCCTTTGGCCAGACTACTACACATAATAGGAGACAGGGGCGAATCTCTGTGCAATCGCATGCGCTCACAGATATACAACGTTTGTGACTCAACCTCCTTTGCGCTGGTTAGTGTTTTGGATCCCTATGGGGTAGTCTCTGGTGGTGGTAGTGTTGGCGTGCGAAGGACCACATCAAGCTTCAATAGCACTCGCTCTAGGTTAAAAGGAACTAGTCCTGCGCCTCTAAAGCCTCTATAGATATTGTCTTTTGTAATAGCCTTGTAATAGGCTGTCTAGAAGCTAGTAAGGAAGAACTCTTTCTTAATTTATATCTTTAAGTATTGTAACTAGGCGTTAACCTTAATTAAGTACACCCTCTTTAAGGGGCTAAAACAGGCCACATTAAGCAGCTGCAACAGGTGTAACAAGTATAGGGGCATATATAAGGTAATAATCTTGTGTTCTACATAGTATTCCTTAAACTCTATAGAGTTGTAGCTCTTATAGCTATTAATAATAAGCAGATAGTAGGCGCCAATAGTACGCTCTTTTATAGACATGTTAAAGTGCTTTAACTACTCTAGACTAAGCTTGTTTATTATCTAGCTGTTCTTGCTAGTTATAATTACCTAATTACAAGGCAGATTAGGGTACTAGGTTATAATTAGGACCTTGCCTTAGAAGATAATAAAGGGTAGGATAGCCTAGCTAGCAGCGCAGACACTAATAATAATTGTGACCTACTCCTAATTGCTAGGCTAGATATTCTTAGGGTTAGATTACTTCTCTAAGCCTATAAACACTATCTTAGACCTAATTATGCCTATTATAAACCTAGTCTTATTAAAGTTGTGGGTATCTCTATCTAGGATTCTGTACTTCTCCTTTGTATTCCTAATTAGCTTAAACTAGGGCGTTATAACGCGTGTATCTTTATTTAGGGCTTGTTAATAATTATATAGTTAGCTATATTAAAGCTTAATTTGTTAGGTATGTGTGTTAAACCTGTTTACCTAGAGCTTGCTAATAGGTCCTTCACTACGTGTAGTAAGTAGATTATTAGCTATATCTTGCACTATAGTCTTTGTTGCGCCTATTCCTTGCCTGTCTAGCTTATGTAACAACGCTCTACGAACAGTGACCCGATACCACTAGGATACGGTTCTAACGACTCATGACCATGGCCCTTGTTGCATGGCATGAGCTCACACTAAACTGCCACTGAACCCTCATATATAAGGAGCAAGGAACTGTAGCATTGTAGAGTAGTTTTTCTGTATCCTTTCGTACAAGACCTATAGGTGTAGAGAATATATCCTGGTGTTCTTATCATCCCAGCACTCCCATATGCCTCGTAGCGGATTCACACCTATTCCGGATATCTCTCTTCTTGCCTGCGTCGTTACAGCTTAAGTATATAGTTAACTATTGCCTCCTCTTCTACCTTTGTTAGCTTCTTTAAATTAGCCTTGTAATTGTGTTGTGCAAGCCCTCCTGTGCGTTAGTCTCTTAATATTAATTAGGTAACACTAAAGGCCTTAGATGCATAATTTATACTATTAGGCACAGTAGCTTTTGTAGCTTAGATAGCAAGGTATAGTGTACCTTTGTTATAGGGTGATTGCGCGTTGTGTTGTGATGGTATTGTAATAATTATTGTAATAGTCGCAAAATTGGCGAGGGGTGGCGGTTCGGTGATACCTGGCGGCTCGGTGATAAACCACGTTATACATTATACTACGCAACGAGTACTTGCTTAAGTATTCTTGTGCTTACCTTTTGGTATAGGCAGAGAAGTCATGTAGTATTGATTTCGAGGGCAGGGCGCCTACTCTGTTACACCTGCGTCGTTACAGTGAGGTTATATTTCTAGCCTAGAATGTTGCCTACGCCTGTAGATGCGGCAACTCTCCCTTTAATCGCGATTTGCGAGCCTAATCATGCCAACAATGGCTGCAGCACAGTGGTCATGATCCAGCTCTGAAGTTCATCATGATGTTCCTGTCGAAGCGGCAACACAATCTGGCCGCGTCTCTCACACACAACAACCCACGCAAAAAAAGAATCGCCCCCTTGTCACGTTCGCAAAGGCAAAATGCATCGGCCGGGAATCGAACCCGGGGCTAGCCGAGATTGTCCAGAAACGGATGGCAACGGCTAATTTTACCACTAAACCACCGATGCTTCGTGATTGTTTTTTTCTACGGTGATGTATTTTTTATAAATAATGAAATGTAAGAAATATATAAACACAAGATTCTGAGGTCGCTCTTGAAGCCTAGCCAAAGCTCGTTGATAATGCTATTAGTAGGGCAACACTGTGCTTTTATTACTGAGGATGTGCAAATCGAGATTTTAAACGCGAACTTAAGGCGCTGCAAGTCTACTAAACATCCTTAATTGTGCGAAAACATCTCTACGCGATTAACACATTAGTAGCACTGGCAGCAGCCTCCTACTGGACTATATGCTGGTTCACGAAAAACAATAATCTGAAATCTGAAACTATTGAGGTATTGTGTGTCTGCGCCGCTAGATCCCTGAAAGCGGAACCTGCCCATGGCCACCAGCCACCAAGTTGAAATTTACCTTTGCCGCTTTGCGTCTGGTCCTTTACAACACAAAAGGCTAGTCCTGGTCATGCAGGTCGTGTTTGGGAAAAGCCGATCCTCAGGATTGAGAGTGCGCGTTGATCGATATCTGTGCCGCAGCCATTGTTGGCATGATCAGGCCAAGTAATCCATCAGGATTGATTCGGCCATCGGCTGTCGCCAACCTGCACGCATTCGTCGTGGCGCTCGTGTGGTGTTGCCTAACAACGCGAACGCCAATCTATGCAAACATGTAAACGCCTGCACTACGTCTTGGCAGAAGCATGGAGCTAAGGCTGTACCCTAAGACTGTGAAGCCAGATGAGGACTTCTGTGTGCAGACTGGACTTTCTTCTCGCACCCTGAAGCTCTGAACCCCTTCTTTCTATCTTGATCCACATTTCGTAATCTCGCAGTCCTGGAAAGACCGCGTATACACTACTTCCCTACCTCAACACTATTCTCCCAATCTATACATTACCTCTACTACGCTGAGAGCTGCGCTACAACGATCTCAGCGCAAAGAGATGGTACAAGCTTTGCGATCATCTAGAAAGCTTTGGAAAGGCTAACGTGATCGCTAAAGGTCTCCCGCTGGGCCTATACACATGGAGAACACACAGGGCTGTACTGAAGAATGTTGCAAAGGATTTCTACAGACAATTTGGGGATTAGAATTGGAATGATGCTTTTATTAGTCACTCTGCGGATAGCAAAGCTACGCAGTAGGAAAAAATCTGCACGATAGACTCGCAGGAGTGCTAAATCTGCCAGCAGGCATTCTGTTTACGTAATCTTTGCTACGAATTGAACCACCAGGATTGCAGAGTGAAGGGAAAAGGGCGCCGCAGTATTGGAGGATTTTACTCCGAACACCACAAGAACCTTTTAGGCAGATTCTATTGGATGTACGACGAGGAGTATGACGATCAACACGACTTTTCAGACAGAGACAATGATGACAACGGCAACGGCGGCGACGACGATAAGGAAGACGACGATCAGGGCAATGAGGAAGACGGCGAGCAGGGCAATGAGGAAAACGACGAGGAATACAGCGAGATTGATCTAGGGATGCTCAACCACGTTCGCGCTTCCTACAACGAAGAGAGAGCAAAGGCACTCGATACTGGAGCATCCGGAGCCATCAACCTGCATTATCAGGGCCTGTCGAATGCGCGATCTGCTTCGACTTAGTCAAGCACCATAAACACGTGGTGTGCTGCATTGAGCAGTGTGGTCAGACTCTTTGTCGGGACTGTTCTGATGCGTGGGGAAGACAACTTGAATTAGCTGGCAAGGCGGTCACTTGCGTATACTGTAGAGCGCCCTGGACTATGAAGAACCAGTCCGGACAAAAGATCCAGTTGACTAGTACAAGACTCATGACATTCCTGATCCATTGAGAGCATTTTTCAAAAGTTGCTAGCGTGGAGCCTCTTAGTTACCAGAATCTCATCGCAATCCTTGAAGACTATGTGTAACGGTTGAGAGGAGAAGCAGATCACGTGTGTGCTACTTCCTCATGTTGTTGAGCACCTTTTACCTCAGCTGCACCACAAACACGTCATCAAAACAGACCCCGCAGCGAGCCTTGGAGAGCAAAGATACAAGCAGGACAACAACACAGAACAACACAGAACAACACAGAACAACACAGAACAACACAGAACAACACAGAACAACACAGAACAACACAGAACAACACAGAACAACACAATACACTCGTTATATACATTTGCCCTTGATACCGCAACACTGTGTTAATTCAGCGTTTGCATTAAGTCGTGCTATTACTAAAACTAGAAATGGCCGTCGTAGGTTTTTTTGTATACAGCTAAGCTACCATTGAACCTTTCCGTAGCCCACTCTCGTACCTTTTGGAAGTTCTTGCACGTGTGTACCTGGTCAGAATCGATAAATGTGGTATTAACACTACTAAACCATCGCAAGGGGATAGGAGTTATGTCGCTATGGCATTGAATCGATTGCCGGATAATATCGACACAATGTTCTGTGCATGAAGATAAGTAATTTCTAGTTTGACAGTCAAGAGCGCACACGTACCGAGATGATATCTACCAAATGTGGAATTCGAATGATGCCTGACGTAGTATTCGGGATAAAGAGCCTTTCGAAGTATGTTCTAGCTCCAAGTTAGCTCTAAGTTCGCGACGTTCGGTAATGTACGAATGTACCAGACAATGTAAAGTATGCAAGACATCTAAACTGCATGTTTGTTAGACTTGTCTTGGTAATAGTTGTGTGAAACTTGCCCAACGCTGTACCCCATTTTGGGGTCTTTATAATATTGAGTGTATTCAGTTCCGAAATACTGTTGAGCCTCCTTTTCGGTAATGGTGAAGTATCGCCCTAGTACACAATTCAACATTAGCACCAGTACCCTGTTGCGGCATATTGCAGAAACTTACCAGCGATTAAACTTTCCCAAGCACTATCAATATCAGGACTTGGGGGACCAACGTACTGTGTCGTGTTGGAGCTTCCAGCACGAAACGCATTTCCGTGCTTATCGAAACCGGCTGTTCCAGAAAACCTTACTCTCTTGGTTTCTAGAGCGGAGACTGCGGGCCCTATTTAAAGATACCGTTAATACTTTCATTACAGGAAAGGGGAATAAAGAACTCCTTGTACTTACTGAAGTCGGTTGTGTGTCCAAAGAGAAGACCTACGCCTGGGCGTAAGAACACACCCAAGACTATCCCGAACAGCAACGACATGAGGGGTATCCACACATAACTATGGGTCCGCAAAGACCAAGACGTAGTCGAAATCAGCTGTCTGCAAGATCCGCATGCTTTGTTATTGTCGCTGTGTTCATTTTCTTGATTTGGAACGAGAGCATAATTCTGCCGCAATAGGTTCATTCTCCCAACCATCACAGTATGGGTTGATAGAAGTGTAGGCCTGAGAAAGAAAACGTACGAGAAAGCCGAGATTTGTAGGAGTACGGATCAATCCTCGGGGATAACAAAAGAAGTGAGAGTGCAATCCGAGAGAATAAATAAATCTCGCACGTCGATGCGACGAGTAGCAACCATACCTCAAGACTAAAAGACGTCATAAGTAGTTACAAATTGAAGACCAAGTTTCAGGATTTTCGAGTGCTTGAAATTCGGTCCGTTACGGTCCTTTTCCAGCACCGAACTACTGTGGTAGCTGGCATAAGTATTGTGAGTGGGTCGCGCAGTGGCTGGTGATCAAAACCTACGTATTGAAATTTTAATAGCTCTGCACAGGGCAGACTGCATAGGCAGTCAGCAACTAAGACGAATCTAATTGGTTTGTGAGGTAGTAGGAGTTCTTGCATCTCTGGTCCGTACCCCCAGAGTCCGTTACCCACTCCCAAAACTTATGCCGGCTACCACAGTAGATTGCACTTGACTTGTCTCAGACTTGTCCTCGCCGTATTTCTAATCTGGTGTCCGGAAAACGTAAAGGGGACTTATCTTTTTGTCAAAATTCCTGGTAATCTGAGTTATGCCATATCGTTTACCGGCAGCAATAGGGCATAGGTCACGATGATGATCACCAAGGCAGAGCCAAGTGAGACTGCCGCTCGGATCGCGCTTCAGACAATCTCGCAAAAGCACCGCGATATCGTCATCGCCATTGACTACAACCACACTAGACGTCTAGCAGGGGACTCTGTGGATGCAACGACTAGGTAGCACGACCTCACTGCTGCGCATGGATCGCACACAATCGACCTCATCTAGGTATAGGTGAAATGCATCCATGCTGCACAGTTTCAAAGGCTCGAGAACCTTGCACCAGTGCGCTTTCTTCTACTGTCCAAATCAGACTCTAAGTGTACATAAAACTGAACTTTGCAGAGCACCTCTAATTAGCAGAAGAGAACCACTTATCTACAGGTTATCTCTTACCTATAGCCAAGGCGGAGCTACAACTCTTAAGACCTATGCGTGACGCGTCTCTAGTACCCTCTAAGAGGTCAAGAGGGCTAGGCAAAGCCAGTCTCCTGCAGGACGTTAATCAATTTTAATCAATTAATCTCAAGCACAAGGTCTGTGAATACGTTCCAGGATTTGGCCAGTCAGTCATTTGATTTCCTTGATACCAAGATGCAGGAAGGACAGACGCCATTGGCGGGGCCCTACTAGAGGAAGTGAGGTCCGAAGAGAGACCCAGTCAGGGGCCACATCTTCCAGTGTCTCTGCTCTTTCTTCCCGGACCATCCCGTGTGACCATTTAGACAGTCTGCAGGTCAGTGATGGCCGCACGTAGGGAGGGTCCCATGCATGCATGCTAGTAACTGCATTGAAGTCTTATCTGTCGGGAAGAAAGTCTGTAGTAGGTGAACTAAGTGGATTGCATAAATGCGTGAGGGTCACATGCATGCATGCTAGTAACTGCATTGAAGTCTTATCTGTCGGGAAGAAAGTCTGTAGTAGGTGAACTAAGTGGATTGCATAAATGCGTGAGGGTCACATGCATGCATGCTAGTAACTGCATTGAAGTCTTATCTGTCGGGAGAAACGTCTGTAGTAGGTGAACTAAGTTGACTGCACAAATGCGTAACGAAGAGCGAGTAGGTAATATTATTGAGTGAGGTACCGAGCTATCGACAATTCCCTAAGCACTCAAGCTGTGCCTCTATTCACGCGATAAGTAAAGCAGAACACTAGTCTGGCGCGAAATTGCAATGAGTCTGACACCAAATGCGACCCGGTTGATAGCTACCTCTAGCTGGATACAAGGCATCTAGTAGGAGTGAACAATCTAAGCCTTAAACGCCTCTAAGCAAGCCAGTAAAACTGTATACAGTTATCATCGGATCATGAGTATTGGCAGGTACATCAGCTGCCCGATAATGCCTGACGGGCCCCCCCGATCCCACTTCGGCCTGACTTGCGTCAGCTCTGAGGAAAGAATAGGCCAAGCCAAAAACTGTCAATGCGCTTCCAACCATCTATCGTCGAGATCAGTGGTGCGTGGTGAACGATTATCGGGTGCAGTACACGCAAGCTATTAGCCGTTTCTTCACCAATGCTTTCCCTTTTTTTGGAGATGCGACCCGCTAGCTAAATTGTTGCGGAGCAAAAGGTCAACCTCTTACTCCCTTGAGTAAGTTCGTCTTAACCGTGACGCACTCCCCCAGATCGTAGCAATCGCGTAGAACTGGTAGCCTTTCAAGGTTTTCTGTACACGTGGGTTGTGACGCAACATGCCCTGCATATTCTGCTCCACACGTCTAGCGTTCTACGTCTGTGCCCTTAACCTCTGGCACTTAGCTTCTTAGCTCTCTTGCGCAGTGTTCTTTGCCGTCTTTTTGGTGGGGTGTCAGGCTCGCTTGCGGTCACCCACCTTCTCAGCAATCCATTGCAGACTTGCTTAGGCAGGAAGTAGCAGTCCCGGGCTCATAACTGTCGCGGAGCAAAAGGTCAACCTCTTACTCCCTTGAGTAAGTTCGTCTTAACTGTGACATAAATGCTTGAGAAGTTCTCGGTGACTGGTTAGAGCTGGTTAGGCGATTTGATACTAATGCGCCGTTGGCTGCCAATAGGACTTGGAAGCTCATGCGAGCTGGCTACGGTCCTATTCTCGGACTATCGGGAAGCAAGAGCCGTCTTGACTTGTATCTTACTACTTGCACACGATTACTGTATAAATGCTTTGCCTCCACGCTCCTGGAAGCGTTCATCAAGTTCACTCAGAACACATTCTCTCCTATTTAAATCTGCCCTCCATCAATACTCTTCCTCGTTAACATGAAGTTCATCCTCTTTTGTGCTGCTTTCCTCGGTGTGGCAACCGCCGCAGCCGCCCTTCCCAACCCAGCTGCCAACGGTGTTGCGAACGCAGTCGCTGTTCCTAAAGTACGTTGCGTGTTGATAAAAAGCCTTCGCAAATATCACTAACAGTATGCAGCGTGTAAGATACCTTCGACTTGTATTGTATTAACCGCTTGCTTTATTGCTAATGATAACTAGGCTGTAAGTGTTTGCTCGCTAGTTCTACTACTCCTACTAACCTTTTCCTAGCCTGTAAGTTATTGGTATCCTTGTGCAGGAGATGATTTAGGTCGATCTAGGATGAGAAAATGCGATGCTAACCCTCTTAACCCCAGGCTGTAAGTTGACAACTCTATCTATTAACCTCCTTCACTTTCTCGTGCCCTATTCGCGTTGCTAATTGCGAATGCTAGATTGTAAGTTGAACCAGTTGATTAAGCGCAGTTAAAACTTGAAACTGCAGCAAACCTGCTGCTAATCTACGAATGTAGGCCGTAAGTCAACTTCAACCTTCGCGTCAGAGAGGGAGTGAGACTCCCAGCAGTAGCAGATTAGCTAATCGTAACTTTTAGAAGGTAAATTCCTTCCTTAAGGAGAGATCTGCGCTTAATTTAGCAACAACATGAATCTAATGTTCCTAGGACGTAAGTTGTTCCTTCTGAACCCTTAGCAGACGTAAACACTTTTGGAGTAGAAATTGGCTAACCTTTAACTTTAGGATGTAAGTTAAGCCCCGTTCAGTCGAATTTGCCGGCACTGCCCACTTCACAGCAGACATGAGTCTTACTTGATTCCTTTAGGACGTAAGTTTACCCCTGCCACGCACTTTTGCTTCGCAAGCGAGACCATCCTAACTTGGCCATTTTAGGAGGTAAGATAATCCTGCCCCCTGTTGCTTAGGCAAGAACAGGTCACTAATCACACGGATCGTTATTAACCTGGCGTCTTAGGTAAGTAGCTGGCCCTTCTCCTGACTTTCCCCCCTTAGAGGCTCCTAGGCAAACATTAAATATTTACTTTATATCCTAGGACCCATAAATATCTCAACCATACGTTTAGGACGTTCACGAGACTGCCTCAATAGCGGCCGATGCTAGAGTAAGTCGATGTTTCCTAAACCTTAATCTCTACTTCGAGTCTAATCACACGCTAACCCCTAACAGTGCGTCACTGTCGGTTTTCGGGGTCCACAATCTAAAGATCGTTGTATGGAGTTCTCTTACCCAAGAGTTTAAGCTCGGCCGATCGTAGATGGGTGTTTTTTGTGGTTGGTACCTACATGGCTGCGCAGCGAATCTGGAACCACCGTACCGTAGCTACTTAGTAAATAAATCACATCTCTGAACTGTCCCCCCCCCCCCCCCCCCCCCCCCCCCCCCTCTCTAACTACGTAAAAGAAGTGCACACCGTTATTAAGGCAATATACCTCGCCCCTAAGCTTTAGATACCTCAGGACATTAGTGTCTTAACAAACTTGCGCGTCTGTTACCGTAGGTGGCGTCATCCTTACCAGGGTGCTCTGGTGGCAGAGAGCGAGACTTCTGCCCTGGACTGGCCAGGTGTATCTCGCAGTCGGCGTATATCTCAGGAGAGTCTACAGTTTTGAATGCACCCCAGAGTAATTGAACGGTTTCGTGACGCCTGTAGGCTCGAGGATGCGTCGACAGCGCGGCGAGATTCGATGATTTTACTTAATCCCCTACGAAAGTGACTAAGGAAGGTTGTTGCTCCTCAGTTACGCCCGCGAGGTCACTGAAAATCAGTCTGTGGTCTCTCAAGGTGACACCAGTCTCGGTCAAAGCTGCGCTTATCCAAGGAAGCGGGGCCATCTCAGATTGTTAAAAGTGTGCGCGGGTATGCACGGTTGTTTGGTTTGCAGGGTAGTTTGCATTTTATATCAGCCGTCGCGACCTCCGCAGCCGATGTTAGCCACAACCCAAATTCGAAAAATAAACATTCCAAAGTGTTGATCGATGAATGTATTCTGTGTCAATGCGCAAACCAAATTCCACTATTCATGCACGATGGCGAGCAACATCAGGGGATGGCCAGCTCAAGATTTAGGAGTCGATTTCTGCAACTCAAAGGCTCAAAAGTACACATGCTTATATGTGTCAGCCCACGAGCACTTGGGATAGTGGTCTGCAAGTCCTACACAGCTAGATGGACTTACTTTGGTGGCTCTTCGGCGTCTGCTGCATGTGTTGTTGGGATGGTATGATCTCCGGCTACCTACTTGATTGCTATGGCATCAGAGCCACCCTCGATGAGCCTGCGAAAGGCAGACCATCTCTTTGGCGTCGCACAAATAGATCTGGACAAGCTACGCTTTGAAGATACGATACCCAACGGACATCGCGAAAAGTCGAAGAAGATACAGGCAAAGCTCCACAACGTATTCGAGCTCGAAGGCTGCCAACGGACGGAACAAGAGCACTTTGTGGATGCACTAATAACACGAGAGTGCCTGAGTGACGCTCTTGTGGCTTATGGTAAAACTATAGAAACGTTCAGGGAGTCATGCAATCTCTCGCATGGATCTTTGCGTGAAACGATCTAGCTTAAACCCATTGAGTCGTTGCGCTGCTTGAATGGGCTGCACAGAATCGCCGCTGCGAAGCGATTTCTTGACAAGAATGACAGATGATGGACAGTATGGTTGTACGAGAACAGTGTAAGTCTGTGTTAAAATGCCCGTTCAGAGTAGCCTTCAGATGATAATAGTGTCAACGCGTAGATTTCGAAGCCGACTTAAGCACACATATCCAAGAAGCTTTTGGGCATGAGCAATACTGTTCCAATGGTACTATTTTCCGCAACATCCAAAGATATCATCAACTAGCGGACGAAGGCAACAAGAAAAAATGGTGGGCCAGACTGTCAGCTAGCAAGAAGAGGGGCTTGAAACAGCTGCTGAAGGACAGACGGTTTGTCAATACGTTTGATAGTCTCATTAATTCGCCTGGCCTCTGGCCACCTGTGCAATTAGGGACTTTGCATCGCCAATACGGTTTGCATTGCACCAAAGTACTTTAAGTCTTTTGAGTTGATGACTTGCTGCTAATTCCTTCAGGAGATGATCAGTTATCTGGAGCACGTTCGGGATGTCTGGCACACCATGATACCGCAAGATTGCTGCGAATTCGTAGATGAATACACAGCCCAACAGCTCGAGATGCTGGCTCCAGCAATGTCTAGGTCCGACAGTGAGAAAGTTGAGGACCTGTTCAAGCGGCGACAGATCTTCTACTTCAAGCCATACAGAAATAACGATGTCTTATCCCTATATTGAGGACATTCTTCGAGAATCAGAAATATCTAGAGCCGTGCAGCATCATTCTTAAAACCTTGCTAGACAACACTGATAAACGATCACTATGGCAGTCTTTCCAAGCAATCTTTTTCCAGCCTGAACGCCTGCAAGTGCAGCTTTCAGATAAGTTAGATGATCTGAAAGTACTGAGTACAACTAGCAGTGACCAACTTCAGGTAGCTCTTCGCCTTGGCTATATTTGACTATAGATGTTCTGCTTCCGCCACTTCCCAGAGATGACACCTATAAAACCGAGACTTGAAGCGCGCAATAGTCAACAAGCAACGCAACGACCTATCAATCCTTCACTCATGCCTCAACTTGCGCGCCTAGCGGTGAGGCTAGGGTTTCAGACAGACAAGGTTATGGCACTGACTAGCAAAGATCCTGAGCGACTCGCAGTAGAGGAGTTCATTCGATCTGCTAGACTGGGTCACAGAGAAGATGTCTCAGATCATGTTCTTGCCATCAAGCATATTCTGACACAGATCAGTGACTTGTCTCAGCCAATGTCTGGACCGGAGTTTCTTGGGGATCAATCAGTTCTAATAGAGCGTCGGTGTGGTTGACCATTTGAGCACAGCCATGTTCGGGAATGCCAAGCTCTTTTTGCTCCTCTTGTGTATTGCGATTCAAGGTCAGGAGTGGAATTCACGTCTCTTTACGCAAGTACGGATGCTATCAAGGCATTTTTCAGCCATTGCATACCAGCTGACGATAGTGTAAGGCCTTATCAGGTAATAGAGGTGCGTTCTGGCGCTAATAGTCCGCAGATTGCACAAAGCGTGCTTAGTGCATAGGCTCAACCATCTGAACAACATTCTGCCACTAATGCACCTGTAGAGCAGCCAGTAGCGATTCAGACTACCAACATGCAGCGACTCCGCGACAATCTTGAGCAGTGCAATGTAATGAGATCGCCAGAGGCGGATTGAATCAGAGCTTTGAGCGAAGAATTGGTTCAAACAAGAAACAACTTGCAAAAAGCAAGAAACGAACTGCGGTCAGCGATCGAGGTTCATGAAGTGATTGCACAAAGAGACAGGACGATTAAGACAAAGGACAGAACGATTGAGGAAAAGAATGGAATGACTTACAGCCTGGAAGAAGAAAACATGGACCTCACGAGCGGGACTGACGCACCTCTGGAGGAACATCACAACGGAAGCGTTGAGTGGTCTGATTACAATCATATGCGGGAGCAGTACGAGACAGGCCAGGCACAGTTAAGAGAAACCCGAGAAGCATCAGAAGCTGCCCAAGCGAGGTTACGCGAACAACTCCAAAAAGAACAGAATTTGTCTGGCGAGATCGTGCAGCGAAACACGTCACTGCAAGGGGAGGTTGATCGTCTAGAAGGAGAAGTAGGGAATCTGTAGTCACAAGCTCGTCAGTCCAAGGCAAACCACACAGAAGAGCTCAGAAAGGGATCCGATCGCATTCAGGCGTTAGAACAACAGCAAACAAATTGCGCTACCAATCTTGCCACAACAGAAGAGAAACTTGCTAATACTGTCCAGGACCAGCATAGTAGGATGGAATTTCCCCCAAACTATCCCTGCATACAAGAGATAAGGTTCACGCTCAGTTCGAAAAAGACGTTCAATCTATGATCGATCAACCCTACAAGAGTGGGGTCCCTGCCAACTGCCTTGGAATTTAGACAGTAACCTACGATGCGGAAGAACTCAGATTCTTGTCGCGACTGTAACTCATTCGCAAGGAGCCAAGCTACGTCAAGCAGTTCATTAACTATCTCAAATACTAGCCTTCTAGAGCGCCTTCTGTGTTCGATTTTTGCATTGAACATAAAGAACAACGAATACAATTCCTAAGGCTACATGACGTTGCGCAAGAGCCCCAGGCAACGGATGCAGATGCTCAAAGGCTCTTGAGCCTCAGTGGCGAAAAAGAGAAGCTATTCTGGGGGCTGAAGAAAAACGACCTAGACTTACTCCATAAGAAATATAGCGCCGTGGGTGGACATCGTTATTACAAGAAAAGGAAACACGACGACAATCCCTTTCTCACGCGCGGATAACGCTCCGTTTAACGGACTTGAGGCTTGCCCACTCTCAAAAGAACAAGAAGTTTCGATTGTTGGGCAACTAAAGGTCGGGGTTCAAAAGCTTTCCTTCAAATTTTCTTCTGTAGTTCAATAATGGTGTGCTGCTATACTTGGTGTTTAGGCGGAAATTATGATTGATTGATCTTTATCAACTGTTGTGCGTCTGCTATGACTCGATCTTAACAAACCTCAGAGCTCGTGCCTCAGCTTCTACTTGTGAGCTGATACTAGGGTAGCTGCTATCTTTCAAACCCGTACATGAAGCGTTCTATGCCGGTGATAAGGATCCTAGAGGCCTACCGATGGTTATCCATATCATCACTTCATCTCACGTTGCGAGTCCACGGCCGTCCTACCCTTTGTGACCCTTTTTCAATCTAAGGCTTGTATCTGGCCAGCCTTCTGTTCCAGGAAAGCAACAGAAGCCCGGCAAGTTCCTTCACGGACACTTGCCTATTGGCTGGCTTGACCAAAGGGATCACGGATCTGCTGAAAACAAGAACAATGACCCTTAAGGCAATAGCAACCTCATTATCTGAATCATTATCACCAAAGAGGCGAAGGCGCAGTTGTAGCATCTAACCGAATTCTATCATCAATGATCAGAGCCCAGCGTTCTTGTCTAGATCTACTTTGAAATGGTCGCGGCTGAAAGCCACATCTTGATGTAGTGTGTCTTCTGGAAATGGAGCCGTAGGTCATTCTTTGATGGTGCTACTAGACCACAGCCCTCTGCTGGACAAGAGTGGGCTCCTTCTGGCTGTTGCTTGATTTGAACACCCTCAATATGGGTTTTGAGAGCTTTGGAATCCATGAAAGGTCCCCTTCCGCAGCATTGGCCGCCACCGTACGGACAGCGACCCTCACCAATAACCAACTTCCGCCATGTTATCACTCCAAAAATCTTACGGCGCTCGTTTAAATCTATACACTGATGGTCAGGCCACAGCTTATCGTGAACGAACATGGCGCATTGCAAACAGAAGCGCACGGGGTTGTTCTTCTGATGACACTGTAGCAAATGTATTGCGCGACGACCGCGACCCCAATGGCGTTGCGAAATATCCTGGTTGCAGTAGGGACAGTCGCCATCCTTCTTGGGCGGTAGGACGGGGTCCGGATAGAAAGGTCGAAATGGCTTTGTATTGGCAAGGGCCATTAGAGGCTTCACACACTCTCCAAGAGAGGCCCTCTCTGCTGTCCGTAGGGTTTCTATGACACGAACCTGTAGAGAGTTGTATTTCAGCATCTGCTTGAAGACAGGCGAAGATTCTGGTCGCTGGAAAGATGGCACGATTTCAGGATCGCCGCGTTCTTGGACATCAGAATCTAATTCACTCTCTCCTTGTGCCAGCATGCTTCCAGCTCTTGAGATGTACTCTTCGCGATCCTTTCGATGCTGTAGCTTGAGTGCTTTTCGAAATGTCGCTCTATCTGTGCGTGGGCTTTGGTCAGATCTGGCTCTCAACATGCCATCTTTGGAGACGACGCCAGCAATGCCCATTTGCGATCCGGACGGCTTGAAAGCAGCGACATCCCGAGTAACGGCAATACTATGACTGAATCTTGCATGCGAAGCGTCTTCCGGCTTGTTGTAGGCTACGTTCTGGGCATCAACAGTTATGGTAGGCGCTGCATAATGGTGCCAAACGCGGTCACCCTTGTGGCCAAGGGCTTCCTTAGTACTCTTGGAGCTTGCAGTGGCTGCAAAAGGCTCGTTAGACTCTATTCAATATTAGGGTTATAATTCCTCACCTTCCATGTTGTTGGCAACACCTCGCCTGAAAGTATAAGCTGTGACAGGCTCCGTGTACCCCGCATCCAGACAGACCTGCCCCAGCATTGTATTGACAGACATAGCACTACAGATCTCCGTTGGGTGGGTTTGACCATTGGGCATCATCTTACGGATGATTGGTGTGTTCTTCTTGTCTGCTTTGATCGCGAAAACCCCTGAGCCGGCCGTAGGTGAGAGCCTGCGGTTGTCAAGACCCTCTGGTGAGATGTCGTGGACAAAAACATTATCGGCTAATGCAAGGTCTAGAAACTTCCGTACAGGACATCTAAAGCGCTCTTTAGGATCCATTTCTTCTTTCAATATGATCGCCTTTCTAAAGAAGTTAGCTCTGGGGTTGAAAGCGCCTCTAAATATACACACATCTTGCTCTCATCGTCCCTTGCAAACGTCCGATTCCGTAATTCAATCTTGACCTGGTACACAAGCTCGTTTATCCTCCGAACAAGGCTGAAGGTAACATCGCCGTAGTGTACGCCTTCGTTAGAACTGCGATGAGATGATGACTCGGCGAACTTCCCTGTTCGAAGGCCCTAGGTGGAGATTACATGAAGCCAGAACGAAAACTGTACCATCATACGCGGCGAGGCATAAGTCCGTTCGCTACAGTTCCACAGGTAGAACTGTACTTCGTCGGCATCACGAGCGTATGCTATAGCTCTGGTTTTTGAAGCGGTCGGGGCGCCTGAAAGTTTCAAAGTGGTCCGGATGAACTGCACGAAGAGCCAGTTGCCGTCAATTCTAGCATTCTATCACTTAGAAAGTTACCCTTCTCATCTCTGCGATGTCCTTAGCAAGCCAAGTCTTGCCTGTCTCGTAGGCAATGACTTCCACGATCTGTTGGAATTCCTTCTTGAGGGTTTGGACCGTGATTGCTTTCCCGTCAATCCTGCCTTGCCCGTACTTTACTCTCCACGCTAAGTACGCTTGGTTGAAGTGCATAGGCACATCGTTCTCAAGGGGCGCCGCTTGTTGTTTCTCTCGTTCTGGAGACTGGAGGACCTCGCCAGCAAACCTGATCACGTCAGCTGCTGTGTATGGATTTTTTTAACACTGTTCCTACTTCTTCCAGTATGAGAGCAGCCGCCCTATATTGCCTTCTTCATAGGGTTTGGCTTTGGGCTTAACAAGGTGTGGTGAGCCTTCTCCGCGGGCTAAGGCCATAATGTCGTTAAGATCCATCATAATGGCGTTGCCTTGTTCTCAAATTCTAACAGCAAAGAGGAAAGGAGTAAAGACCGAGTACGTAGAACTGAGCGCAGGGCTCTATTGCTGGCATCAATACATGTCCACCTGGGAAGTGATTGATGGAACCCATCCTCCTGTTCCCGCCGCCCGCCCGCGACTGATAGGCAGCAGTAGGTTCAGCGTGTAATCTTCTGTGATTCGCTCCTAATTTCCCAAAAGCGATTTTTCGGATTCCGTCTGCTCTGCCAAGCCGTCGTCTCACAACGCCACAAAAGGTAAACTGTGAATCGAAATCTCAAAAATGACACAACAAAACCTGATACAACAGAGAGAGAGAAACTCTCTATATAGCTGGGGTGGTCGGTAGTTCCACTAAACCACCGATGCGGTGGACTGACTTTGATGTTGATAACTGTGAGTCTTATAATAAATAATCAAAGATACTAAATATAATCTCCTCAGATATGAAAGATAGCACGGTCGTATCTCGGATGAGTGTCACATCAGCGGCTTGCGGAAGACCGTGTACTCTTTGTGTGTTCGGCCATCACTGACGTCGGGAATAACGATGTCGTCATGTTCGTAGCGCAAGCTCTGTACGACGCTGGAAGTGTGGCTGTATCCTGGGGATCTTTTGGGTAACGGTATCTTGAACGTTGCAGAGCTCGTAATAATTCTGAGGTGTTGCGAGCTGTGTTTCACTAGATAGAAAAAGCGAATTGTCTGCATGAACGTGTTTTAGAGTAGGCTACTGCGAAGTCATTCAGTATATCTCTGTTATTGCTACCGCCTGTCCTCATAAAGCTCGGACATTCTGCTTTGCTGGGCTTCATCCATTAGGACTACTCGCGCCAGGCCATTATGGCAATCTATCGTCAACATGGATTCTCTACTATTCGAAGTGTTTAGGTCCATAAGACAACGCTCCAAGGTCGATATGAGGAACACACAGTCATCCACAAAACGCAACCAAGTCCCCACCTACGCCTCCGGCCTGACCCTCCCCCTTCTCTCCCGCATCCTCTCCACTCTTCTGCGATCCTCCTCAAACCTCTTGCGCAAATTGACCTCAGCCTCCTTCCGCTTCTCGCGAGTCTGGAACCTATAAAAATCGTCTTTGACGCCATTGTTCTTGCGCCTCTCCTCGAGCTCCGCCTTCTTCTTCTCCGCCTCCTCGAGCCGCGCGGGCCCAGTGCGCCCGCCCCGCGTGACGGTAATGAAGCCGTCCTCGTCAGGCACGGTGCGCGCGTGTTTCATGAGCTTGGCGCGGTGCGTCTCGAGGGTGGTGAATTGCGAGAGGTACGCGTTGATGCTGGATTGCAGGGAGGAGGTCGAGGGGTAGATGAGACTGAGGTGGGATTTGTAGCCTGCGGTGTGTTAGTTATATCGTCTCATGGTATCGCATCCTATCTCAAAGGACTGGGGAACGTGCAAACTTACGTTCAACGCCCAGCCCGCTCCCGGCTTTCCATTGCACCGTTCTCCCGTTCTTGACAGCAGCCTGGATTTCCTTCATCGCTCCCCGCGCGCTGCGCTTGTCTACAAACACAACCACCGCTGCGCTCCCGCTTCTTCGCAATTCACTGTTCCAGAGACTCGGCAGCGCGCTCTCCTCGTCCTCCACAACACCCTCCGCAATGACCTCAGCATCGTTCCTCTTGCGCTTCTTCCCGCGCTGCTCGTCGTCGTCATCACGTCGCTCTGCTTTCCACCGCTTATGCAGCGGCGCCGCGGGCACGCTCGAATCGAACTCGACGCTCTCGACGCGCGCACCGCCGAGTTGGCCTGCGAAGAGTTCGCGGAGGGAAGGCTCGGAGGCGTCGATGGGGATGTTTGCGAGGAAGAGACTGCGCTCTGCGTTTGCGGTGTAGGCGCTGGGTACGTGGGGTTTGGCGTACAGGTAGTGTTGTGTATTTGCGTGCGAGGCGGGGAGACCGGGGAGGGTGGGGAGGGTCAGTGGGACGATGGTGAAGTCGGAGACTGTGGTGGGCGCCTTGCGCTTGAGGAATTTCTCTGGCGCCATGGTGGATGTTTTAGGACCTTTGAGGTCTACAAGACTGTTGGGGAGAGGAAGAGAAGATGGGTCTAACGCATGCAGGGGAGGGGCTCCTATCGTCTGCTAACAACTGGTTCTACCAGGAACGGAGTTTTTTAAGAAAGCCGCGCAGCGTGTAAGCAAACGTTGTGAACATCTCCAGAGCGTGCCTTCGGTGGGTTGCGACTTCTCAAAATTTTGGCAGGGGTGGCACGAGCCACACACCGCAATCGTCCACAGCACCATCGACCTTCACGACTGCACACAACATTTATAGGGACATGTTCCCGCTGACGACGAATCCGACGTCATGCTTTTTTCTGCTCAAACTGAAGATTGGCTCACATCCATCCTCGAGGTTTAGATGCCAGCAACACTCTCATTGGCTACATCATTCGACTCGACCGCAACCGCAGAACCTCGGCCCTGCTTCTCCGCATTGCAGTTGATCCCCACGCGCCACACCACATGCAAGCCATGTAGCCTATGTACATATAACAGCAACCTAAGCTCACAAGCCACCTGTATTGACTCGTGCCCTGCACTTTCCCTACCATACCGTCTCACAACCCGCCTTACACAATGTCCCGCCGCCAGGTCTCCCCCCGACACATGCCCGACATCACACTGCCTAAGAGCTACGACGACCTCAACAGCACCTGGACGTGCATCAGGACGACGCACCACATTGCCGAGCCCAGCATCATCATCCTGACCCTGTACCGCCCCGGCAAGCACAATGCCTTCACCGACACGATGCGCGCCGAGATGGAGTCCGCGTATGCCATGTTCGACGCCGATGCGCGCGTCAAGTGCATTGTTGTGACGGGCGATGGACGGATTTTCTGCGCCGGCGCGGATCTGGATGTCGGCTTTGGGGAGGGGACGACGGGGGAGGGCGCCGAGAGGGTGCAGGATCATCGGGATGGGTAAGTTCATTTCTCACCTTGAATCGTGTTGTGACCATCGTTGAGGGAGATGGATTGGAGAGTGTGAAGATAGTATAAGAGCTTGAAAACTAACGTAGTCGCAGAGGTGGCAGGGTAACACTCTCCATCTTCCATTGCCGCAAGCCTACAATCGGCGCGATCCAAGGCTCCGCCGTTGGTGTCGGAATCACAATGACGCTCCCCATGAACATCCGGCTGTGTTACCGCGACGCCAAAATCGGCTTTGTGTTCGCGCGCCGCGGGCTGGTCATGGAAGCCTGCAGCTCTTTCTTCCTGCCCCGACTTATTGGGCACTCGCGCGCCATGCAGGCCATCACCACGGGAAGCGTGTATCTGGCCAAGGATCGCGTATTTGATGGGCTTTTCAGTGAGTTGCTGGATAGCCCGGAGCAAGTGTTGCCCCGAGCGCTGCAGGTTGCGGAAGATGTGGCCAAGAACACGAGCGCGGTTAGTACGTATCTGATGAAGGAGTTGATGTACCGCGACACGGGGAGTCCGGAGGGCCAGCATTTGTTGGACTCGAGGGTCATCTATGAGCTGTTTGGGAGCCAGTAAGTGTCCTGGTCTATAATGACGTGAGTCTGCGTGCTGACCAGACGTGTAGTGACAACTCAGAGGGCGTCAAGAGTTTCTTGGAGAAGAGGCCGGCCAACTTCTCGGGCACGATGGACAACACTAATATCACGGGGCACCCGTGGTGGATGCCGATCGACACGCTTGGTAGGGCGAAGGTGGATCCGTCAGGGAAGCCGAAGATGTAACAGTCAGGCCTGAGTCTGAGTGAGAAAATGATAACAAGGTTGCAATTTACTGCGACGCGCAGCGACTTCAGACGTGATTGCATAACTTCATTGTCCCTGATTACATGTGATTCTTGAGTCCATGTCCCTGACGCCAAAGCTGCAATCCAGTACCCTGGCTGGCATCACACGACTCGATAGATCGGATGGAGGTATCAGGGATTTTCATTCGTTCCTAGTGTGCTTCTTTTGCGAAGCATGCATAACCGAGGGAAACCCATACTGTCCCTGCCCAGCCAGACCGCACTCCGGAAAATGACACACGCTTAGAAGAAAGTGGAAGGACGCTTGGCAGCGAAGACCTTCTTGCCAGCCTTCTTGTTGATGCGGTGGGGCAGAGGGAACTTGAGGCCCTTGACAAGGAGCTGCTTGATGTATGGGCGGCGGACGTCGTCGGTCTTCTCGAGCTCAACGACCTTGAGGATCTGCAGACTGTTAGACTGGCTTCAAGACTCGAATATTGTGGATGCATACCTGGACCGACCTGAAGCGAGATCGGTGACGGGCGGCCATATCCTGGTAGAGAGCATCGACGGCGGCAACGCGGGACATCTCACGATACTCCTTGTACATGTTGTGAGTGCCGGAGCGCGAGTCGTAGCGGATCCAGATGCCGAAGTTCTTGACCTTCTGGGGGCGCTTCTCGGTGATCTGACGCTGTCAGCTGCCATCCTCCACATGTCCTTGCTCGTTCGCTACGCACCTGGTTCAGGGAGATGATCTCGCCATTCGCCTTCTTAATCTTGCGGAGCTTGCCGAGGAAGTACCAGAACCGCGACTTGGCGACAACATCGTTGGGCGCAAAAATGCGCATACGGTAGATCTTGGGGGTGGGGTTGGCCTCGCTGGGGAGGTGACGGCCGATGACCTGGTATTCCTGGAAGCGAGCTGTGCAAGTCAGTAGGCGTTCAGTGCGACGTTGTAGCGGTCATGACAATCCAGCAATTGCAGTCGAAGTGAGCGGGCGGACGAGGTCGAGGGCGTTGGCATATTCGGCGGGCGTGTGGTATCCGGTCAGCGAAGTAGCGTGCGTCGTCGAGGTCGTGTACATGAGAGCCTCCAGCCTCCCCTCGTCCTTCATGTTGCATCTCCTCCAATTTAATTTACTCGATCGAGCAGCGCTTCCAATGTCCTCCATCGTCGGCGTCCGTCTGTTGTGCGTATGTGTACTCGTTTGCGCATGGCTCATCTGAAATTTCCTTCGGCTGCAATTGCTGGATGGTCGCGAGTATGGAAGAAGTGGTTCTGCTTACCCATCTGGACAATGTCAGTATTCGCAGTCTCGTCGACGATAACGGCAATAACTCACTTCGAATGTGCTGCGGTTAGTACCCTGAAGTGACGAAGTGGTGTTCCTGCCTTCCACAAAACCAAACCTTGGAAAGTGCGAACCTCGCTTACGCGCACGGAGCACAAACGCCTTGCGCTTGGCCGCTAGCGGGCCTGCCGCCTGCCATCGACCATCAAAGTAGATCGACCGGTCGCAGCACTGCGAGAACAAAGCAATGCACACATCTCTGCAGCATTCGATGAGGTAGCGCATATACCGACACGCCTCGCGATCCCTGCTCGCAGACATTGACACCTCCTCTCATCGACCCCGCATTCAGTCCTGTGTAATAGCCATGCAAGCCGCTCTCGCACCGTTCCAAGAGGCTCATGCAACTGCGCTGGCCCAGCCCGTCGCGAACTTCTTTAGTCCGGTCCCGCCTGCGCAGGACCCCAGCCGTCTGTATGACTTCGCGCGCGCTTCGAACGAGGTCCAAATCGAGAATGACGTACGCCATGTGCTGAAGCACAACAAGACCACGCGCATGACCCAGAAGGAGACGAGCGCGTGGGTCGACATCATCGTGAGCTACTGGCGCGCCGTGAACGAGATTATAAAGGCAGACGAGGCATCGAACCAGGGCAGGCTGGGAGCAACACAATACGTTGCCGTGTATGATGCGTGGAAGGATCTTACCAGCAATTTCATAAAGCAGGTATCTGCCGGAGCGCTGCCAGCATGGGGTATCTTCACTCTATATTTTACTGCCAACCATCTGCGCAGGATAGCGATCAAGGCAGACGAACAGCTGGCCAAGTCGAAACCGGCTACGGTCAACAACAGCTTTTCAGAGGATATTGTGAGCACAGTGGCACAGAATCAGAAGCTAGAGGAGGCTGCCCGCGCGTTCAACAGGACATTTGCTCTTTGCTTGGGTGACAGGTGTGCCATGGTCCCATCTCTTGCTTCTTGCCTGGCTCTGACGTTGCATCAGAAACCCAGACCTCAACGAGTCCCGCAAATGGGGCGTCTACTGTGTAGCCAACCTTCAATTCAAGACTTACTTCAAGGTACTCTTCCACCACCAGCGCTGATACCTGTATGCTGATTCCACGCCTCAGCTGAAAGCAATCAGCCTGTCGAAGAACGTCGTCCGCTCGATCGAAGCTCAGTCTGACCTACCGCCCTTCGAACTGTACCCGAGAGCGCATAGAGTCACATACCTCTACTACACTGGAGTTATTGCTTTCCTACAGGAAGATTATACCAAGGTCAGAAAGCACGAATCAGGGTAGGCCACATCACTGACGTGGAGCAGGCAGAAAAGAACCTACAAGAGGCTTGGGATGCCTGCTATGGTGGCGCTGAGAAGAACAAATCGTAAGGGTCTGTTTCTGACCAAGTAGCGCGTAACTGACTGAGATAGACTGATCCTCACCTACCTCATCCCTTGTCGTCTCATCACAAAACACGTCGTACCTAAAGCGCCTCTGCTCACAGACTCACCTCGACTCGAACGTATCTTTGGACCTCTTGTGGCCTGCATCAGGAAAGGCGACCTCACAGGCTTTGACAAGGCCCTAGCAGAGGGCGAGCCCGAGTTCGTCAAGCGCCGCATCTTTCTCACACTCGAACGAAGTCGCGACATCGCACTGCGTAACCTGCTGCGGAAGGTCTACCTCGCCGGTGGCTACGACGACCTCAAGGAAGGACAGACCCAGAAAGACAGGATCAGGAAGTCAAGGATACCGCTCGTCAACTTTGCAGCGGCTCTGAGGATGGGTGGTCAGGCAGTAGAAGATGATGAGGTTGAGTGCTTGCTGGCGAATCAGATTTTCAAGGTAAGATGTCATCGTTATGAAAAGTTTCATCATTGACATGTAGTAGGGCCTGATGAAAGGTTATATCTCGCGCGAGCACCAGATGGTAGTGCTGAACAAGAAGGGCGCCTTCCCCGGCACTGGAGTTTGAAGCAGAAAGCAACTACAGCTTCCGTGGACGATACGTCATACAGCAATAAATATCAGTTACCGACAAGTACCAGCCCATCTGTACGATCGGTAGAGTACTGATAACTTTTCACAAGCTTCCGATGAGCATCTTACTGCAAACGCAGATCCGCAATGTCTACGGCACGGCATGACTACTCACTTGAGAACAGCACAAATATGCGACCCAAACTTTCACGTTGCATTTCAATTCACTCCTGCGTCTTTGCCTTACTTTTCCTTGCGCACTGCAGCCTGTGCAGTAGCTGCCGTTATCTGTAACGTCCAGCACTGCGCCCGACCCCACCGTTCGGCAGACAGGAACGCCGATTGGGCGCAACATTGAGCCGGAGCGGCCTGGTGCCAAAACAGGCTGCGCAGCTCCCTTCACGTTCCGCTCAGAACACGGTTTCGCCCTATCAGGTGATATCGCGTCGATGTTCCGTATCCCCTCAATCCCCGTGCGCCCTCCGTTCATTGATTCCCAAGGTGCCACCCCACTCGACAAGGCCCAACGCGTCTGGACGCACCGCGGGGCTTGCTGCCTGCAGACACGTTCCTGCACCGGTCCTTCTCGCACGCTTGGCCGCCTGCGCCTTACACACTGCCCCAATCTTTCACAATTTGTGGATTGAGGTGCTGACTCCTGAACACTGCATTGGTGTACCAGACTTTGAACGGCAGGATCGTTCAAGGACTCCCCTCAATGACAAGCTCGCACCGCAGAGACCATGTAGGTGGGCTGCACGCTAGCTGTGCGACATGTTGGAGTCCTCCAAACCCGTCAGCTGATATCGCGCCAGTATCGTGTTCCCCTACTCGCGCATCGACGGGGTGCAAGGCCAATAGTCGAGTCCTCCCTTTTCTGCTTGCCGGGCCTTCTTGTCGCTCCTCGTCCTGGTCCTGGTCCTTGCTCACTGCATAAAGCCTGTTCCGCTTGCACCGTCACAGCTGAGATTAACAGCTCCACAGGCTTGCATTGGTGTACCAGACTCAGGCTACCTAGCCATAGGAAGGCTTTGCATTGAGTGGGTGCATGCCGTGCCAGCTCGTCACCGTGACGAAGAGCCTGCCGTATCTTCCAAGCCCGTCACCTGATTACGCGACGACATTGCGTGTCCCTTGCGAAGTAGTTGTTGAGGGGGACGTGGGTCGATGTCTGCATGTCGCTGCACCATTTCGGTCGTTGACGGTGCACAAAGTTAACTGGGTAGCGCTCGACATCGGTGCAAGGGCAATCGGCTGAGCTGATGGCGATCGTCTTGATGCAGCAGGCCGTTTGAATCCGAGCGTGTCCAATCGCACATGGAAGTGAGGAGACGCAGGACGCCGTCCTCTGGCCTGATGGCCGGTCAGTGGCAAGATAGGCAGCCACATCATTCCTTCTGGGCTGAACTGATGGGCCTTTCCCGGTCTGGCATTCTTGCTCTTTGCATAACGTGTTCTATCAGTAAGCTGCGCATATCAGTATCCTGCGCACCCCACCAAAACGCGCTCAACTCAGCGTGCAATTGCTCCACAACCACATGGTCAATTTAAGTGAGGTTTTGAAGCAAGATAGATTAGATAGCTCTACATTGAGTCCTATTGTGACCTTGCACGTGGCATTTGCTACACGTTGGTGGTGCTCGCTGACGTCGTGGGGCAGCGTCAACCTGGACCTCCTCTTCAACCACATTGTCAGCCTGTAAGACTAGTAATTGAGCTTGCTCAACCTGTAGAGCTCCTCC